TATTTAAATTTTATGAGGTTAATTCTGTAAGCTGTGGTGGAGTTTTTAATTGTGCTCTATTGTCTTTGCCTAATTGTCTTTATGTTTTAGCTGTTCAAATGAGTGTTTTTTCCCTCAGGGTTTGTCGTCCAAATTATTGACTCAAAGTTAGTTAGTGTAATAATTATGTAAAGTATATAGAGGAAGACTTTGAAACAACTACTACAACTCCAACAAAGTTCAGTCAGGTCGTCTGGATGTTTTTTTTTGTGTTTAAACGTTTCATCCTTCATCCAAAGGACTTCATCAGTTTGAGGAGCCACAACAAACTCAGTCCCACAAGCAACACACTCAGTGGGCCAACCAGTTTAATGGTGATAAGATGGTTTCTGGAGTCCACCCTCGCCCCCATCAACTCCTCTGAGGCAGCCATGGCCAAAGTGGTTCGAAACATCAAAGTTCATGTTCAATCATCCAGGTAAAACAATCTAACACAGTTAAGTCAGGTCATATTTATGGTTTCTTTTTTGTTAAAATGTTTCATCCTTCATCCAAAGGACTTAGTCAGTTCAAGGAGCCACAACAAACTCAGTCCCAAAAGCAGCACATTCATACTTCTGTGAAGTGGGACTGAGTGCATTGTGGCTCATCAAACTGATGAAGTCCTTTGGATGAAGGGCGAAACGCTTCAACACAAAGAAACTGTCCAAATGACCTGACTGAACATTGTTGGAGTTGTAGTAGTAGTTTTGAAGTTTTCCTCTATATGCTTTACATAATTATTACACTAATTAGCTTTGAGTCAATAATTGGGACGACAAACCCTGAGGGAAAAAAACACTCATTTGAACAGCTAAAACATAAAACAATTAGGCAAAGACAATAGAGCACAATTAAAAACTCCACCACAGCTTCCAGAATTAGCCACATAAGATTTAAATACATTCTTTGCTTTTTTTTCTGATTGCAGCCTGAAAATATATTTTTTGCCGCTAGTCATAATTGTCATTCCTATAGTGACGGCAGGTATCAAAGGGTTCCATAATTACTGTCATGAGCATCAAATAATACCTCCAAATCAAACCTTTTCTTACCTTTAAATTATTCCATCTCACATTGTGAGATCCGTTCACTGTGGCTGATAATTATATATATTCTACATGACAGCTGAAACAGGAATGACAGATAACAGAGGATTTCTTTCCACATTCAGCACTTTTTCTGTTAAGCAGTCGTGGTTTTTGAAGGATTAATGTGGCACAGATTGCAACTTGTCTGAGTTTGTAATAGATGGGGATTTTTATATGTTGTTATAATGAGTTTGTGGAGTTTTATTGCAACGAGCTCAAACTCTGGTATAAAGATTTTAGAGTCAAGTGAGAATGATAATGAAGCTCTTTATCAAACATAATAAAACACTGTGTCACAATATTTATAACACTTTAGATCTAGTTATCCAGTATGTCAATACTAATGCTTACATTTCAGATATTCAAAATTAATTAATTAATTGTAAATTGATAAATTGTTTTGAGCCTTAAAAAGATTTCTAAGCTATTACCGTAATTCTCAGGCTACCTGTCTCTAAACCACACATAGAAATATAAGATAAATCATAATTTTGTACATAAATAAGACGCTCTGGTTATTAAGCCGTGGGAATCCACCGTTCATTGTCAGGACCTGTGCCCAGCCAGTTCTGGCATGTGCAGCTTTCTTGTTGTAGTACAAGAATCAGCCACTAGATGGCGTTTCGTAGACCATAGTTTGCTTTCGACACATGATGATTGTCAGAAGTCTTCATGATGCTTCTCTGTCTGACTCATGGTTAAAACCATTCAACCTACAAAATGAACATAATTATCTTAGCATAATCACTGCACAGGACAGTGCCAAACACCTACGTAACTGAAATTATTTAAAAATTATATACTGGTAAACACTACCCACAAGTCTAAAAAAGTTAAATCTGGTTCTCTGGGCATTCAAAAAACAAAACAAAGCAAAACAACAACAAAACAAACAAAAAAAAAATGTAGAAATGTTTCGTCTTTCATCCGAAAGACTTCCTCAGTCCTCAAGTCTTATCGAGGTCATGTGACCAGAAGTCAAATAGTACTGGTAAAATATGGTAAATATTCAATAAATTAGTATAATTGATTTTTATTGCTAAACACTTTTGGTAACAGCTGCTGTTTTTAAATGGATTTTCTAAATAAATTTGATGTGATTTCTGCTCAGCAGAGCTCATATGAGGAGGAGGAGGAAGGGGGAAGTGCCCCTCCTGTTTTTCCGCTCCGTGCTCGGATGTCAGCTTAAATGAGATACTGGTATTTAAACACATATTTACCGTACACCGAAAGATTTGTTTTAACTTTTATTTAAACCTGTATCGGTCTTGACTGACTGCTTTAAAAATAAATCTGACACCTTCGCCGCTGAGCTCTCATGACGGGAGGGGGAAGAACCCCTCCTGTTATCTCCGTGTTTGGACGCAAGTTTAAAATGAGATCCCAGTATTTAAACGCATATTTACCGTACACAGAAAGATGTCACACAAAATAATTTCAAAACTTTTATTAAAATAATTTACCAGACTTGACTGCTTTGCGTCTCCGATGCCTGACCATCGACACATTGATGCAAAGCTTCAGGCGGCAGATCGATTTCCTTCTTCGACAGCCAGATCGATCGCTTTTAACTTGAAAGCTGCCTCATAAGAAATCCTCCGTGCATTTTCCATTATCGCTGAACAAATGAACAGGTCTGTGCATGAAGAGCAAAATATGGTAACGATACGGTAAGAGTATGAAGAAATTAATGCACATCTATCTTGGAGGATGGTCCTTGAGAGTACCTCATTGGTCATTCAGGTTAGACTTCTGGTCACATGATGACAGAGTGGGAGGAGTTATGGTAGCGAATTTGAAACCCTGAGCAAGAGTCTTTGTACGTGTGGTGACATGAGGGCATTCACTCTGTGCCACAAATGCCCACCCACAAGAAAGTTGGGCACTCGGTGCTATGAGCGTCCAGCTCTGTCAAATGAAAATGTAAATAAGCGTCAGGAAGTTACTGAGCGATGACAAAATCGTGGGGTATAAAGTGTGAGAAAAAAGTAGCGGCTTGTACACCGGCAATTACAGTAGTGCTTATAAGAAAAAAAATATATCTTTTGGCTGCTCCCTTCCTCAGTGAACTAACTCGTATGAAGACTTTGCAATTGTTTTCAGGCCAGATGCCCTTCCTGACACAACCACAGACCACCGGGCTACCACAGCCCTCTGTGTGGAGCAGAGAGCTGCTGTCTGGGGTGCCCAGGGGAGCAGATGGTGGCGGTTAAGGGTCTTGCTCAAGGGCAAGTTAGGCAAATGAGGGTGGAGACAGGTGGAGACCTTTGCCACTCACATTTTGATGTTGTTGGTCTGGGGAGTCAAACCGGTGACCTTCCGATCACAGGCCCACCTTCTCTAACCTGTGCGCCACCATGTTAAGTAGAAATTAGTCCAAATTTATTAGTAATAACATTTGAAAAAATTCCAAGATAACTCGTTTGTTAAAGTGTGGTGAGAAGTTTCCATCCACTCATAGCAGGCATGAATTTAATTAATTTTGGTCTTTTAATTGTTTTTTTTTTTTAACTGTTCTTTTTCCAAGACTGAGGGATTATAAAGCATCAACTTTAATGGATTTTTCCAAAAAAAAAAGGTGTGAATAAATTTTGGGTTTTCATCCATACATTCACCTAAATCTTTTAATAAGTTGTGCTGAAGTTTAACACTCCAGCTGGTAGCTTCTCTTTGCCGACATAAAAAGGTTCTGTTTGACAGCACTCATGGATCTGACCAACTCATCTCTCAGCCTCAGATGGAAGGAACAAGACTCAAACCTGCCATGAACTGGAAACTGCTGGAACACCCGAGTCCACAGTGAGGCTGGATTTACATCACCATGGCAACAAAGAAAAAAGGCTCCTGCTCCAAAAGTCGCACCTTCAAATATGCAGCTGCCCACAGGGACAAGACACAAGTCTTCTGGAGAAAAGCTTTATGGTCAGACGAGACAGAGATTGATTTGGTCACAATGACGAGAAGTAAAGCATACCCCGTCGAACATGGTGGTGCCATCGTGCTATTGGACTGGACACAGTCAATGGAATTATGAAGAAGGAAGACTAACTACAAAATTTTCACCTCAAAACCAACATCTGGATGGTTGAAACTAGGACACAGTTGACTCATCAGTAAAGGGTCCCAAACACGCATTAAAACTGGTTTCTGATTGGATAGAGCAAGCTAACGTTAGGATGCTAAAATGGTCTTTCCAAAGCAACAACGACAACTCAAGTTGAAAATTCATGGACTACAACAGAAAGCCAGGTCTGTGTCGGACCAACCGATTTAAATGAACTCTACAAATTCTGCCAAGCGGAAAAGCGGTCAACTATTAGCAAGAATTCTGTCAGAAGCTCATTGATGGATACAAAACATCCGTTATCCTGGTGCAATTCAAGAGATATTTAACAAAAAATAAATAAATAGTGGGGGTGTATGGATATAGTTTAGCATGTACCGTAATGTCCGGACTATAAGCTGCTACTTTCTTCAAAGTCGTTAAACCCCACGGCTTATACAATGCTGCTGCTAATTTGTTTTTTTTTTGTGACGAGCTAATGAGCTTCATGCCACCAAAACATTTAGCCTCTTCACACCCGGGCGCTCACATAGCTGCCCAGTACATGTCTCTCTTGGGGGGGTGGGTTCTCGTGACTCAGTGAAACTACCTGTATAAATAAAAGTAAAAAAAAAAAAAAAAAAAAAAATCAGACCAATGAAGTAACTGAACCGTAAATCAAACGCACTCACACTAAATTCTTCAGATTAGTTATTTTGCGCTTCATGCACTCACCGTCATCATGGAAAACACACGAAGAAATGCATATAATGCAGCTTTCAAGGTAAAAGCTATCAATCTGGCTGTCGAAGAAGGAAATGGACATAAGCTTAGCCAAAACTGGCCGCATGCGCAGAGCAACTTTTGCTCAAGTCTGCCAGTGGATCCGGACAGCATGGAGTAGTGTAAAAACATCCTCTATCACCAACGGGTTTCGAATGGCTGGACTGTTGCGTGACGAAGAGGACAGCACAAGCTCAAGTGCAACTTTACCTCGAGATGAAAGTGTCGTTGAGAGCGACATCGAGAAAGAGACCGAGGACGTGTGTGATGACGTTTATCTGAGGCTGTTCAATTCTGACACTGAAGAAGACGACTTTAGTGATTTTAGTGCACAGGAGGAGGATGAAGATAGTGTTCAATGACTTTTCCTTGTAGGCTACTGTATTTTTTTTAAACCAGCCGTGTTACAGGCACTGTTCAGAAAAAAAACATTTACTGTACGTATTTGTGTTCGTTACCGGTACATATTTAATTCAAAGTTTACAAAATCTTTCTTTGTAAATATCTCATGTGGCCACCTGCGACTTATACACTGGTGTGGCCTATATGTGTACAAAATTGTTTTTGTTTAAAATTTAGTGGGCGTGGCTTATATTCGGGGTGCACTCAATAGTCCAGAAATTACGGTAGGCCTATATTCAGTTTTGTCCCTATGTGAATTTGAGAAAATTACCTATTTGAAGCCCTAAATAATGACATTCATGCCCCATGATGAGTGTATGGAAACTTTTGATTGTAGCTTTAGGAAGTCAATGAATCACTGTTTTACAGATTGTATTAATTCATTCAACCACGATCACTGAGCCACGAGGACTCATTTACAAAAGGGGCAACAATAACAATAAACAATAATAACAATAAACCACAGTAAAAATGCAGTTAAAATTTAAAATAAGATTAGTGTATAAAACAATAAATCAGGGAGCCAAAAAAAAGGTAAAATACTAAAAACAAGAACATATTAGCTTTGCTTTTTCTATTGATCATACCAAACCTTCACATAGTGTTCACATTTATGTCAAAAGCAAATTACAATATATATAAAAAAAAAATGGGGATAAAAAAATGCATCTAAGAAAAGGTGTATAAAAAAAATTACAGTTCTATGTTTTAGTTCATTCTTGCTCTTCCTCTGTGTCCAGCTCTGTTCAGAGGCAGAGATGATTACTGTTGTAATTTTTTGTTTTTGTGAAAAATGTCAGAAAAGACTCAGTTAATTTGTAATGGACAAACTGCATCATTAAAATTACTTTGTTTTGAACGATTGTATATGTTTTGAGACACAATACTACGTGTTCAGTCCCTAAGCAAGTGCACTTTCATTTATTCCCAGAACCGTAATGACCTGTAAAAGTCAAAGCTATAAACGGATGGAACATGGCAATAGCTAAATCTTTATCAGTTGTGTCTAGAAGACCAAGTTGTGTTTATTTTTGTTCTTAGGCATCCAGCCGAGTGTTGCGGAGGATGGCATCCCTCCCCTCCAGGAGTCAGTCACCTGGCTGTGGCACCACTGGAACGGTCTCACCGTCTCGTATCTCCATGCGAACATCCCAAGGCAGTACGTACGACTCGCCAATCTTGTCTGAGCCCAAACCGCTGGCAGCCATCTTCCCTGGCACCAGCATGCCGCCCTCCTGCCTGTCACCGACCTCCCCGAGCGACACCACCCAGGCCCTGGGAAGTTTAGGAGGAGGAGGACGATTGGGCTCTACCCTCTCTTTGATCGAGGGGAGGGGTTTGACGGGGTCACTGCTGCGATCAGGGATGACGGCGGTGCCGCAGCACTATGGCTCCACGCTGCCCAGGCAGAGCCAGTCGCTGGCATATGGTGCTGATCCGTACGGCTTGTACCAGAGGAGCGCTCTGCCACGACCCGACAGCCTCATAGGTCAGTCTGACGTCTGCTTAAATTCTCTTCTGTCTGAAAATGTTGGCCCAAGACTCGTGCTGCTTTCTAGTCCTGTCGAACGCCTCAAATTCTCCCCACCAACAACTCAAAATTTCATTATTTACACGTTCAGGGGTTTCTGACAAAAGATCAGCTCAAGTTAAGGCTGTGCAATGTGACATAAAACTAAGAATCCAACATTTTGGAGCCTTATTGATACACACAACTAGAGAAATTGAATTTCCTGCAAAAATGCAGTGTGAATGCTTATTGCAGAAGAACTTGCTGAAAACAGCTAAAATTAGCTTAAAAAACATGCTGAAATGCAGCTGAAATGAGAGAACAAACCTAAATTAGCAGTAGAAAGCAGAAAGAACACATATTTTCTGAATTGGGTTTAAATAAGCAGAAATTAGCACAAAAATGAGTCAATCAGCTTTAAAAAAAAAAGCTGAAATTAACAAAAAAGTCACTAAAAAGTAGCTGAAAAGAGAGAAAAAAGTTTAACCAATCAATGAGAAGGCTAAAAAATGTGGAATTAGCTGAAAAGGCTAAAATTTACATAAAAACTGCTAAATAGTAGCTGGAATAGCAGAAAAAGCTGAAACTAGCTGAAATAAACTGCAAAGAGCATAACAAGATGAAATTTACAGATAGACGTTAATTAGGCTGAAAGTAGCAGAAATTACCAAGACAAACTTGAATGTATCTGAAAACAGCTGAAATTAGCCAAACGTTTTCTGAAAAGGTAATTAAAGGCTAGTACAACTTACATTATAGTATAAGAAAGCAGAAAGAACACATGTTTGCCCAATTAGGCTGAAAGAAACAAAAAGAGCACAAAAGGTAGAATTTATCTGAAAAAAGCTGAAATTAGCACACACACAAAAAAAACAGCTGAAAAGTAGCTAAAAAACAGAAAGAAGCTGAAATTACCAGGAGGGAGTGGAAAAAGCACATTTTTGCTGAATTAGGATGAAAAAAGTTGGAATGAGTGCAAACAAAAAAAAGAGTGGAATTAGCTGAAAAGGCTTAAAGTAGCGTAAAAACAGCTATATACGGTAGTAGCTGAAATAGTAGAAAAAGTTTAATCTAGCTGAAAACTGCGGAAAGGAGCACAACAAGCTGAAATTTGCAGATAGAAGTTAGAAGCACAAAAATGTTGTAGTTAGCCAAAAGAATCTGAAAGGATCACACAACAGTTGAAAAAACAGCTGAAAGAAGTTAATTGGACAGAACTATTATTACTTATTATTCAAAAGCATAGAAAAAAATCTGTAAAAGGGCTCAACATTTTCAGTAAAATGCATGTCATTTTTTTAAATGAAAAATTCAATATGAAACAGAAATTGAACGTGGATCAAATGCTACAATTTGACAAAGTTTTGAAAGCAAGGCTTGTTCTCTCTTTACATATACAGTAAGAGAACTCAGATTTTACACCGCACCTCTGCAGAAAATGTATTTTGTCTAGCCAACTTTCAGAGACAACCCAATTCAAGATGGCTACTACAGCTAATCTACTTTGGTAAACATTAAAAATGGTTAAAACTAATTAACAGCTAATGAGCTAAAATTTGGTGTGGTGGAGGCTGCAAGGATAGATGTTTAAAGCAAAAGTACTCCTTCTGTTCCATGATTTTTTTAATACAATGTACAGAAGGTGACCCTGTTCCGTGGAATCACCACCTAAACACGATGGAGTTCTGAGTAACCTTAAACCAGAAGGTTATGTTGTCTCAGACATCAGCCCCTGGTAGGGTCTCCTGTGGCAAATTGGCCACAGGGAAGCCAACTAAGAGTCATTTGAAGTCCTCGTTGAAGGAGGAGCACTTAAAACCTGTCACCTAAGTGGGTGCACCTCGTGGAGCTGGGCTCCTGGTTGTTCCTTGGCTTCTGGGGATGACGGGTATGAACTACCTCCACGTGACACCCAGATTTACAGTAAATCTTAAAATTGTGAATTCTTCTTGCTGCTTTGCTTTGATCTTTGCTTTCGTTGAAGATGTGCTACCTACACTGATGCCAAACATCACGTTAGAATCGGTAACAACTTGGCCTGTTCGTTGGATGAGTACTGTTCATTTACTTGTTGTTGCCTTGGCAACCACTTCTCTAACTTGCACCAGTGTGAAGCATCGCGTCACATCAAAGACATACATCTCTGAACAAGGTTTTTTTTTTTTTTTTTTTTTTTGCATTTACTCATCAGTTTACCCACTGCCAGACTTGCTCAGATGGTGATGAGGGGCTGATCGACATCCCTGGAGTCCAACCTTTTGACTTTGTGCCGCTCTGATTGGCTGAGACAGCCGCAGCTGGCTGAGAAACTTGAGAAGGGATTATTTCTTTGCTGCTGCCAGAATCTTCACTGAGCTCGGCTTACAGACGTCTTTGAGGCGTCTTTGGAGCAAATTTCCCACCAAAAAGAGATGCTCCCACTGTAGCTTTGATCCGGCTGTATTTAACTTTGTCACCGGAGTGTTGGCAACGTTGAAAAGGACTTTATTCTGTAAACATTAAACCAGATTTATCGGTCCTCCTCCTCTTATTAACTGGTTATCGAGAACTCTCTCCCTGATGCTGATGCAGCAGCTACTTACTCCTCCACTGTCACTTCACAAAGCTGCTCTTTTTGACCCATATAGGCTGCCACAAAGCATCTGCACATGATTATCAGCTGACAGCACTCTAAGGCTTTGTTATATCACACTGTAGTTTATGCATAGATTAGTAATGCTGGCAAACGTAATTTTGCGCCTTTTAAGGGTGTTGGAGGTGAAGTCCTTAGTGTTTTTTTGCCTGCATGTATTATAAGTGGCCAATATGTTCCATAAGGACTTATTCTTGATTATCCTGCAGATCCATGATAATCCCAGATTACATGAAGGACATAAGCTAAAGATGGATACATGATTAGGCTATTAATGCTAGTAGCTAAAATAGTAATACCTGGTAATCTGCCAGCATGCAAAGCTGCCTCATCAGTTTTTTCTCCCCTGATGGAAAAGATTTTGCAAAGTGTGGTTGAGGTTTCAAAGGACTTTTGTTGTTGCAAAACCATTTTGATTCCATTTCTTCCCATTTCACGATGGCCACCAGAGCTAATGGACATTGGCTAACACAAAGATACTGTAGCTACAAGTCAGTCAGTTTTATAGATCTTCAGCTAAAACTTGACGCGGTTGTAGTTCGTCGTGGAAAAAAAGCAGATTCACAAAAACAGACCAAGGTGTAGTTCATCAGATTTACTTAGAAAGCTTTGGAGAGCAGTCCAGCATTCACAGAACATGCAATTACAAGATTACACTCAAAAGCAGTGCTCTCATCTGTGTGAAACCCTGACCTGCTCTAACTCTCTGGATCGGCCAAGTTAGTTTTATAGAATAACCTCCAGCCCAGGTCTCGGTTAGGCCTGTCACGATAACAATTTTTGCTAGGCGATTAATTGTCTCAGAAATTATTGCGATAAACGATAATATTGTTTGAAATTTGACGATAAGTAATTGACAAATTTTAGAAGAAATGTTGATTTGTTTGGGGTGTAGTACCTTTTTTGACCACCTGATGGCAGTATAAGACTGTTTGAACCGAAGGATAGATAGTGAGGGAGCGAGCAGTGTGTCTGTGAAAAATGGGAGGGAGGCCCCTTGACGTGACTAGGGGTTGAACGAGTATATAATTTTTAAACTCGACATTAACATAATAAAACCCGAGTAGAACTCGAGTATTTGATGACATCATAGATCTCAAGATACAAAAATAAATAAAACCGCAAAAAAAGGTAATTATTTACAAAAAAAAAAAAGACCAACAAAACATTGGGAGCGTATTTTATGCTCCTACCATTTATCATACTGCAAATAAGTCACAGGAAAAACTAAACTATTAGTTATTATTATTAAACTGCAAACGTGAAGAAACGCAGCGCGTCAAAAACGAAACTTAAACCGAAACTGGTTCTGGTTCGGTGGATTGGACCCGGTGTTACACCATACTCTGTGACCTGCAACAGTGCAACACCGCCCCCTACGGTCATACGTGGTCACATAATATGACGTACTACGGATACCCGACTTTACATTTTTAACATCGATAGATGTCCTAGCAATCGATGTGTAGATTACTCGAGTACTATGTTAATGCCCTAGACGTGACATGGGCTGACATGGTGACATGATGGACGCTCGGTGTGGTTTGAGCTCTTTAGCATAGCATTTTTCACACAAAGCTTTTAACATAAAAATCAGTAAACAAGTTCTCAGCTTATCCTGATGCATGCTCAGTAATCCTTTATGTGCAGTCCTGTTGATGATGCAGTAGAGGTGGTCAGTTTAAGATTAATATCAGACACCACTCTGAGCAGCAGGACCACGCTTTCCACAGAACAACTGTCAACTCTTGAAACTGTGCCTGCAGTCAATCTACTTCACATATGGGGAGCAATATTATAGGAAGAAACATGGGTGTGCTATGGGGTCTCCAGTTTCTCCTATTGTTGTCAACCTGTACATGGAGGAGGTAGAAAAGAGAGCCTTGACGTCCTTTTCAGGGACACCACCAAGTCATTGGTTCAGGTATGTTGACAACACCTGGGTTAAAATCAAATCTCAGGAAGTCCAACATTTTACTGACCACATCAACTCTGTGGATAAATACATCAAGTTCACACGAGAAGATGTAAAAAAATGGCAGGTTGGCTTTCTTGGACTGTGAGGTCTCAGTCTCTGATAGAGGACTTTTGCAAACTGAGGTGTACTGCAAACCCACCCACACAGACCAGTATTTGCAGTTTGGCTCCCATCACCCTTTGGAGCACAAGTTAGGAGTCATCAGGAATCTGTACCACAGTGCAGACAGCGTCCCCACTAACTCAGGAGCCAGGCAGAAGGAGAAATCCTACACAAGACAGGCTCTAGAGCAATGTGGATATCCTAACTGGGCCTTCCTGAAAGCAGAGAAATCCTAACAGGACTCCAGTCAGCCAACAGGTGGAAAGG